TCAAGTCCTTCTCTAGCCTTTTTGAGGCGTAATCCTGCCACTGCAATCCAGGCAATATCTCGGAGCATGAAGTAACACCAGACCATGTCTATTTGCAGTATTGGAATATTGTCAACGAGCTGGAAGCAACACAGCCGAAAGGCAAAAGAAAAGGACAGTATTAATTACTTAACCATAAAAGACACCAGAAAAGGATCTAGCATTAGCCATCTAAGTTAAAGCAAAAAAATAGCTCACTCACTTCAATGGACTTGGGATTGCATAGAGAGAAAGCCTCCTGCAACATAGAAATCAACAGGATATTCATTTCCTTCGTCAATTACTGGAGGGTTTCTCAATTGATAAGCAACAATCAAGTTTCCAAAAGCCAAAAAAAGTCATCCAATAAGTCTAAAAATCATTTCATATGCATGAGAAAAGTTTTGAAAAGGAGCACAATGCCAGTTGTAATAGACAAGCAGAGGAAATATGAAAAATAAAGGGAATTGTGATAAGTTAATTAAAGGAAATCTATGAAAAAGTATAATATGAAGATACAAAAACTGTCCCCTAAAAAATTTCAATCGGAATATCTTAAAAGACGCACCAATAACTTACTCCAAAACAATTGATTAAACCATAGAAGTCAAATATACAAATCAATTGCAATAAATTGACCATTTAAATAAATGCACTAGGAACTAACCTCTCCCATAGTAAGAACTTCTAGTGCATCAGTAAACATTTGCTTTCTGATAAATCGCTTTCCACTTGTATGGAGCATCAGACCTGTCATTATTGCCCTGCCAAATAATGGTTCAGATCTTACTTCTTATTGAGTAGGATGATAGACCCTTAAACTCTTAACCATGGAATTTTTGTCAGGTATCGAAACAATCTAGAAAAGTTACAAGCACAATTTACTTCAGTATCTTACAGTCTATCAGTCTCAGAAAAGTGCACTTTCTTCCCATTCTGATCTTCAAGTTCAATATCAAAGTCTTCTATAGGTAATGCACCATCTGCATGCCTCTTGGACAATGCAGTAACAGCTGCCCTGCCAAGTTAAAAGAAACCACATGTGAAATGCAACAATTTGCAAATTATAAAGACATGTTCAGAACGATGTTATCCTCAGTCAGCACATCTGAGAGATTTATCTTCAACAAACATGTAGCAGAAGCACAACAAATAAATCCAAAATTCTAGTTGGGGGTTGGAACAACTTGGCTTAGTCATTCCTGAGTTATATAAATTTCCAGATAAAGAATTAACCGAGTTCAAACTCAAATTGTATTTTCTTCCAACAGATTTGACCATCATATCAAAATACTTCACTCATTGATTCATCTGCTTAGTTTATAGAAAAAGCTCAAATACCTAAGTCTGCATCAATAACAATCCATACAAAATTCATGCACTGTTGTCCAATCTACCTACACAATTCAATACCCAAATCAAAATGTTTGCGAAATCTCAAAAATCTATTAGCACCTTACAGTTATATTCTTCGGTTCAGTCTAATTTTAATAAAAAATTCAACCAAACTGGAGAATAATACTCCTTGTTAATATAATCTGAATTGAGAATTGATTCAAATCGAACTGGTTTTGTTCAGTTTGGGTCGGATTTTTAGTATTCAAAACAGAAAAAAAACTAAAATGTTTTTATTACTGCCGTTGCATGCCTTAATCTGGATGTGGAAATTGCTCTTGAAGGTTATTCAAGAATGAAAAAAAATCAAAATTAATCGTTGTATATCTTAATCTAGGACATGCACCTGCATTTAGCAACTGATCGTTACTGCCTGTAAAGCAATCTCCACGTCCCCGGGCTTCCTGCTAATGGAGGAACAAATGAGAAAGAGGAGCACAGAGGAGTAGGAGCGGGAGGGAGGGGTCTTTAGGGTTATGATGTTTTTTTTAGATTTAATTAAACTAGTTTGGTTTGGTCTAATTTAATTAATTTAAATTTTTTTAAATTGGAATCGAATTAGACCAGATTTTTTTTTATTTTTTAATTAATTTTTTTTATTAATTCAATTTTTACAATTAATTTATTCTTGATTTAATCAATTGATTAGTTTTTTTAAACATTCCTGTTCATAGGTCTCACTTTGAAAATATGAGCATAAAAGTTAGTTATAGAAAATTAGGAATTCACCGTTTCTTGATTATGTTTTCATCACATTGTGTTGGTCTAGCCCAACTCATATTCACATGTAAGAAAAAACTATTCGACATTAAATTTATGCTAATAAAAAATTAGAAGAAAACTATTTTTATCCTTTTAGATTCACAGTTAAACACCATGTTCGATTTTGATCCCTCTTCTTTTTCTTTATTGTCATTTCACTTCCTAATTTTTTTTATTTTTTTTGTAATTTTTGTATTTTTTTTTTCAATTTTTACTTTTTTTTAAACATGTTTGAAAAATAAGGAGTTAAAAATGGGTAAAGACAAATTGAAGTTTCATAATTTTTTTTTAAAGAAAATCCAAGTTCCATGAGATGTATATCCGATTAGTATGGGACTCTCACCCACGCCAATGATATCATTTATCATTTTTTAAGTTGTGTTTGGTAAAAAATTGAAGAAAACTATTAAATGAGTGAAATTCGTAGGTAAAGTGTTAAATATGTAAAAACAATATTAAAAAGTAAAGGGCTAAGTATGCTCGATAATGGTTGCTAAAATTGAAATAATAATATACTTGTGGTCTAAAATAAAAATGAAAAAAAAAAGAATAGTTACTATTGAACTTAAAAATGAAGGGAAAGCACTAAAACCAATTTAACTACCCATTTTTTAGGTATAAAAGATACTGTAACAGCAGTTTTTCAAAATATTTTTTCTTAGAAATGCATTGAAATAATAGTTTTTTTGTTATTTTTTAAGATTTATTTTTTATATTAACATATTAAAATATCAGAAAACATCCAAATAAATTATTTACAAATCTAAAAAAAATATAAATTAAATAAAAAAATATAAATTAACTAGAAAAATATTATAAATCACGAACAATAATTTTTGGATCTTAATTATTTCAATGCTTTTTTGACATTGCATAGTTAAAAAAATTTAATTTCTATTTAAAAAAAACAACATTTCAGCTAAATCTGGCATTTATATTTATATTTAAATAAAGCAATGTGTTAGAAAAAAAAAAACCTGTATCAATTATGTAGCATCCATTCTCATTGTGTTCGCAATGAGGGGCTAATATTATGTATATGGAACCCATAAATTATAATATAAAGATTTACGATATTGAGAGTTCTTATAAGAGATTTCAAATTCAAATTTGTGATTTTTTCTAATGTTTAAACTCTATTTTTAGTATACATTATAGCACTTCATCACATGTTTTTGAGACTGTAATCTCATTTATACAAGCAACTAAATAGTGTACCCGTGCTATGTTACATGTACAATTCCAAGTTAATTCCTAATAAAAAAAAAGATATTGGTATTATTTGTTAAAAAATATATTAATAATAAAAAGAGAATTTATACTAACAATTACATTCTCTCTATAAAATTTAAATTATTAAAAAAACCAATTTCTTTTCATATAATTAAAAAAATTCAAAGAACACTCCACTCACAAGATCAAATATCTTTCAATTTTGTATTTTAGTTCTTAGTTAATATTAATAATTTTTTTATTATTTATTAATTTATATAATTTTTAATTTATTCATTAAATGTACAGATTAATTTTTTAATTCTCAATTAATTTTTTTTATGATATCAAAAAATATTTTCACAATACCTGCACATTCTTTTTTAACGCTAAAAATTAAATTCAAGTCATATCCGCAACATAGAATAATTGGCTAATAACTTCATATATTTGATCCTATTCTAAAGATATAATTTTATATAAAATTTTTGTAAATGACAAAACATTTTCAAAATAATTTTAAGATGTAAGGAAAAAAAATCACTTTTATATTTTCTAGTTACACTATATCACATTTTTACTATATTTAAAAATTAACATTTAAGCACCCTTTTGTTATTTGAATTTAAAGCTGAAAGAAAACAAGTTATAAGTGAAAATAAAATAAAATTACATGCATTAATCGTCTCGTGTGGTTAGTTTTTGAAATAGATCGAAATGTACGAAGTAGTGTGATGAACATTCACATCTTACAACTTCAACAATTGAATTTGAATGCTAATTTGTTGATTGAGTTCCTTAGCTACAAGAAAGATGGATTTCCATTAGTTTAATTCGTGAATTATATGTTAAGTGAATTTAATTAAGCAATTTGAAGTGTCCCCGAACATGATTACGGTAAATGGAAAACCAGATTTCCTAACAAAAATCATTACGCTAGCTGGACTAATCAAGGATAGCAATTGGGATGATTTAAGCACCAACACTTTGGATGCTCTTAGAGCACACATCTTAAGAAAATTAAGACAGGAGCAAGATCTACTGCATGCTTGATTTGTTCATAAGAAACAAAGGAAATTAATACGAACTCTGGCTGTTGAGCTTTTGTCATGAAATTCAAATCTAAAATTTCAATTCCTTAGATTTGATCATGATTACTGAAAATATTGGAAATCTGGAATTATCAAGCGTACATCTAACCATTTGAATCATGACCCGGACCTTGACAGAGCTTCCGGATGCACCCGTCCCACTATGAACTTTGATGTTTCTTTCTTTCTAGCTCCATGGACAGTTGAGCACCATGCAAGTCCTAGAAGCACATAACGAAAATATTTCTTGCGGAGATTTTCTTACCTTCATCCACAATGGATATTATAATAGTTTTTTATTTTCTTTTCCACAATTCCTGATCCCTTAAATCTTTTTGATCACTGATTGGTTCAATTAATTTGATTTGTTATAACCGCTAGGTTCTATTTTTTTTTTTTTTTTTGATTTACGTGGGGTGTCCGGGCCAGCTTGCGCGCACCACGACTAATCCCCACGGCCCACTGAATATCCTGCAAACCCAGTAGGCATGTAAGGCACCGCGGGGATGACAGGCGTGCATGCTAGGGCTTGAACTCACGTGCAGTGGAAGGGACAAGCCCCTTCCACCGCTAGACCAAGCCCTAGTTTGCCGCTAGGTTCTATTTTTATTCTTACATTAGATGGATGATATATACCCTGCGGCGAAGCACAAACATATAAACAAGTCTGAAACAATATGGTCCCGAGGTTCAAGAACCCAAAATTCTACGAGTTTTTTTAGTAAACCTTGAAGGTAACGCTGCTTATAAAATCAGATTTACAAAATTTCTAATATATATATTAAAATAAATATAGTCACCTTGAAGGTAACTCTGCTTATAAAATTAAAGTTAATGGACGATGGTAAAACATTATTCAACATAAATAAAATACATGTAAATCACACAAAAAGTATTGTGCAAACACATAAATCACATTGTGAAATCTAAAAAAACACTTCAAACATGAAAATCTTTTTGGATTGAGCTTGTTTATTTGTCCTATAAAAATGTGTTTGTTATAGGCTTTCCAAAAGTAATGCAACTACAACATATACGTCTCCAACCATTTAAATCCTTCTGCATTAATTTTTGTTTCAGATCATCTTAATTGTGTTGTCTTCATTGGCCTAAGCCTTTTAACATTTTTATTTGCTTTGTGAAAGTTTTCCATCTACATTTTAATAGCTGTCCTATATGACATTGAGTAGGAGAGGAAATGTCCGGGGAGTATTTCACCCCTAAACTTAAATGAGACAACTTGGTGTGACTTGAAGGAGCAAATACATGTTGGATTGGAGTCTGAGCATGTTTCCGATCGATCAGAGTTGGATGTAATTGAAATTAATCCAAAAGGGCAAAATTAAAAGAATTAATTAAGGATCAAATTGAACAATCCAGGAATTAAGGACTGTTTTGTAAAGTTAAAAGGGCAAAATTAAGAGAAATTTTTAATTGCTTAGAGGTCTAATTGCTGAATTTCCAAAAACAGCAAGGGTCAAAATAAAAATGTGTCTTTTGGCTGAAACGTCGCCGTTGCTGGTGGAACAGCCGTGTGATCTTCTTCATCCCAATTCAACTGGAGACCTGAAAATCTGCAACAGATCCAATCGTGGACCACTTCTCTTACCCACAATCTCGTTCGTGGAAGATAACAGTCCTCCAAAGACAGGACTGGTTAAGGGCAAGCTGCTGGGTCTCTATAAAAGAAGGAAAAACCCAGACGAAGGGAGAAAGAAAACAGAACCCCAGTTGAAAAGCACATACCAAAAGCATTCTTCCCAAACACAATCTCAAAGAAAAAACCACAGGAGGACGAAACAGATACCGAAACCAGGGAACAGGGGCTGAGAACTGGAGACAAAAACGAAGAGGCAAGTAACGAAACAGGGGGGAAGCAAACGAAACAGAAACAGGGGAAGAAAAACTGGGGAAAAAACTGAGAGAAATGGGAGACCCAAGACGAAGAAAAATAAACCCAGAAATCAGAGGAGGAAAAACAGGGCATAAAACACAGCAAAAAAGGCAACGATACAGGGAAGAAAAAACCGAAAACCAGAGGAAGAAAAACAGGAGCTAAACCCAGAGGAGGAAAAACCAGAGAAAAAGGCCAGCTTACCCCAGCTTCGCCTTCGTCTTCAGAGAACAAACGCAGACGAAGAAGAAGAAAAAGAGACCTAAGGAACGAAACAGAGGAACGAACAAAAGCAAACGTGGGAAGAACTTGAAGGAGACGCAGGAGACAGCAAGGCCATGAATGGCAGAGAACAAAAAACAATAACAGAGGAGGAACGAGATAGGGACCGAGAACCAGAGAAAAATAGAGAGAGACGGAAACAACAAGAGAGCAGCAATACACAAAGACGCCTTCGTCCTTGCAAACAACGAAAACCCAGAATCAAAACAAATTCCCAGCAGGCCGGCCTCTTCATCATCTTCTCGGCTTCAAAAGCTGCTGAGATAGCAAAAGGAAAAACGCAAGAAGAAAACACATAGACTAACATCAACTTCACCGTCGTCTTCATCGCCTCCAGCAGATCAGGTAAGCTATCTTTCTCCTCCCGCTTTGCTTCATTCTCCAAATAATTAGCGCATTGCACTGTTCAAGTGAATTTCAATTCACTTGAACAGTGAGCAACACGCGTGTTGCGTTGCCCAGCCTGGCCACTGGCTTCGGTAGTGGCCAGGCTGCGCTAGGCCTACGTTAAAAAAATAAAAAATAAAAAATAAAAAAATAAAAATAGAAATAGAAATAGAAAAAATGAAATACAATAAAATAAAAAATATGTATGCATCAATAAAAATAATATAAATTTATTAGTTTATTTATTAACACAATAAAACTACCGGTTTAAATTTATATTATTTTTATTCGTTGTATTTTATTTTATTTAGCTAGAAAAATAAAAAAAATATAAGCATGCGTAAAAATAAACTTATTTTTATTTATTTCTTCACTGGTGCTAGAGTCGGAAATAAAAAATATTGATCTAATTTATTTTATAACTACATAATATTTATCAACATTAGAATTGGAAGTATTCATAGTTGAATATTCATTGGCGCCAGAATCAGGAATATCACATACAAACCATCATAACATAAACTAAAAAATATTTAGCAATTTAAGATAAAATTAACAATGCAGCCTACCTCAAGTAGGACGTTTAAAAATGATAGTATCTTTTTTTTTATATAACAAGTACTGGACTATAGAATCTCAATTGATCAGTTAAAATTTCTAGTGACCATAATACTAAGTATCGACTATTTAAATAAGATCATTTCTTATTAAAAAATAAAATGTTAAAAATCTATTTTCTTTAAAATTTTAATATTTAAGATTACTGTGATGTCGAGTGTGAGAATACCTATCTCAGTGGTGAATACTTCTAATGAAACCCCATGAAGACCCAAAAAAAATAAAAATTGACATTCTGCTACGGGGCAACTAATCTGTCATACCGATGGTGATATGCTTTACATAAATGTCCAGGTTTACCATGTATTGGCCAATATATTAGAGGAGACGCTTTGCAGATGAGTAATTTTTGGCGCAGTTTGCACAACAAGACATCAATCCCTTCAATCCTGGTTCTCTAGGGATCCGGCTTGCCCTCTCACGTCCCTGCAGAACTCTTACAAACTCATCTGCAGAACTATTACAAACTCATCTGAACTTGAGTTCCTATCGCGATTAGCATCGAATACTTAGAATATTATGTCAACCAAATCATTGGTGATGGAGATGCCGCATAAAAGGATTACACGAGTGATTTGGTGAATAACTTGATATTATTGCATTACAACAGTGTCTATATATAATACAAAACCTGCGACTATGTAAGGAATGCTAATAAAAGAATATACAATCATAAACACGGCTGCAGCTATTTAGGAAACATAATAATATCAGAGATGCTATACATGGAAGTAGATCACTGATGAGCTGAAGTTATGGTGATTTCCTTATACCGCATACCCAGTAAAACTTAAACCACATATCAGTATGACAAGTAAGACTGTAAATGGGTTGTCAACAAAGCTTGAAGAAATGTAACAATCAGCTAAATATTATTTACCTGCGATGAAGCTCTCTGGAAATCTTTTTTCGTTAACACCCCATTCACTTCTCCATAGATAAAAATGGCGAGAGATAAATGCTGCAACTGTCTACGTAGCTCTGTGAAGTTTTTGAACTCCTCGAAGGTAATTCGTATGTCTCTTATCTGTGGTTCATTGCTTACTTCATCAACCCGATCGAGTAGCTTGCTAATGTGTCTAATATCAGCTGATGCAACCAAGGACAAGCCAAAATCTTTAGCTGATATAGTACCACATGATCTGTAATCATAATGGGCGAATTCCAGCCGTAAAATCTGTAAAATTCAACAGATTCAGTTCTTGTTTGTATACGAGTACAATGAGACAATGATCATGAACAGAATCAAGAATTGATGATTCATCAGAGCACAACAAGACTGAAAAAGGAAACTTATCGCAATCGAATCAATATTATGACATTCCTGACATTTCCCAACAAAAATCCTGCTAATTTAAAACCCTTCTTGGGAGATTACACAGGAAACTGTAATAAAAAGTTGGAAATATAAACACAGATTACAACAGAAACTGTAACAAGAAGTTAGAAATATAAACACATACTTCATCATGCAAGTCCCTCAAAAATTGGACAAATCTTTCATGTTGGAGACAGGTCCTGCCATCTTTGCCAAAGAAGTATTCTAAGAGGCCACCATTCTCCACAGGCTCCGCTACTTTCAACCCAAATCTCCTTCCATCTCTGTGGCCTGCCCCTTGCCTGTTTTGAGCTCTCATTAAACCCATCACTTTCTTAAATTCTTCTCTGTCAATTTGTCTGTTATAAACACGCGAACATTTAAATAAGCACAAATAGAAATAAGAGAATCAAGAAGCAAATTGTACTATAAGTATCAATGAACTTCAAAATTGTTTTGATATTCTGCAGAAGCTGAACTATGAAAAATGTGGACTCTGTGTCCAGAAGAAAGCAAGTAAATGAAAAATTTTCTTCAAGATAAAGGCAATTCATATTTCGACGGAACTAAATGTCTTTACTGCGAGTAGCTTCCTGGTCTGGTCACCTGCAACTTCACATAGATCTTGAAACTACAAGCAACTCACCCATTATTGTCGAGGTCAAACATCTTAAATGCAACAGAAAAACTTGATTCAGGAATGCTGAGCAGGGTGACAAAGAAGATGTACCTAAACGTTGAACATGGAAAGGACTAAGTAAGAACACAATGCAATTCCCCAGGGACTGCTTCCCCTATCAGAAATCCCTCTCTAACTTGATTTGACTCTGATGGAGGAAATACAGGAACAACTGCTATCATCAAGTCTGCTGGCGTCATAAGAACTTCACCATCAGGCGTTTTAAAAGATGCGAAGTACTCGAAAACCTGAAAGGAAAATAAATGAAACATTACACAAAAAAGCATAGCATATAACTAGTACTCATAGGTGTAATAATGGCTTCCACACCCAGGAAGATAAAAAATAAAAGAATATCAGCGAAACAAAATGAAAAGTGGACTTAGTGTACAAGAAGATCAATCCTATTAAAACTAGGGGAGTTGGAAGATGTTGGGTAGTTGACAACTGACTTTCATGCCACTTCTGAGTTATCGGGTGCTCTTATTGAAGGACAGCAAGGTTGTCGTGATGCACATCCTTAACTCTCCACAATACAAAACCCTAACAATATTTGAATGTTTGTTTCCATTTGTGGATGAATTAGACATTCGCAAGTCATTTAAAGGTTTCAAGCTTCCCCGATCAGACAATCAGGTAAAACATAAATGTCCTACAAATGGTTTTGAAATAGCCCATTGCTCTGCATTGGAAAGCCTAGATAGCTTACACTGCCGGAGAGGCAGGATTGAGAATGCTTGAATTGACCTTGCCAACACCAGGCTTAGCCGTAGGACTGCCAATTAATAGAAGTGCATACTTGGAATCATAGTGAATTGGTAAATCAGAAAAGAAGAAAGCTTTGTTTCAACAGACAGAAAACCAAATAACAACACACAAGTTCATTAAATTAATTTCTCATTGCTTAAAGGTAGACATGTTGCTACAGTGAATTGAGTCGCCAATAATGTGTGTGATTGAATGTGGCATAAATACAAAGAAACTATTTCCATTCCTGAAAGATTTGCGTGCATTCTCTTTTAGGCCATTCAAGCAATCAAATATATATCAATTTACGTGGTTTGACAACTTGTCTACTCCACTGTTAGGCCATTCAAGCAATCAAACACACATCAATTTATATGGTTCGGCAACTTGACTACTTCACGGAGCTACTGGTTTGTATTAATCAAGTTTAGAAGCAATACAAACAACAAAACAAGGAGGAGGAGAAAATTCTTCTTTACTTAACTCAACTCCTTTTCTTTTCTAACTCTTTCTGTGTTTCTCTCTTGTTCTTCTTACTTAGCTCTCAATAACATCCTCCATTTATAGCTGAAATAGAAGATAATCCTATCCATTTAGTCAATTATGGTAGCTATCATTTTTCAATGTTAGGTAATCATTCTTAACTTTTACCATGCAGCCACATGGCTGCCAACAAACATTTTTGTATCCATTCATAACATTCTCTGAGGGCTTTGCAGCCTGATGCGCTTTTCATAATTAAAGAAAACTGTTCTTCTATATGAATCTGGAACAATCGACAAAAATGATAC